CTTCTAACCCGTTTCGGTAGTCTCTTTGTATCGCGTTCTCATCGAATCCGGGAGATCTGGCCTGGTAGTGGTTAAACCAAAGACTTTATGACTGAAGATTGCTGCTTCTCCGTCAGAATCCGGGAGATCTGGCCTGGGAGTGGTTAAACCAAACACTTTATGTCTGGCGCTTGCTGCATCTCCGTCAGAATCCGGAAGATCTGGCCTAGGAGTGGTTTAATCAAACACTTTATGTCTGGCGCTTGCTGCTTCTCCGTCAGAATCCGGGAGATCTGGCCTGGGAGTGGTTATACCAAACATGCACTTTATGTCTGGCGCTTGCTGCTTCTCCGTCAGAATCCGGGAGATTTAGCCTGGGAGTGGTTAAACCAAACACTTTATGACTGGCGCTTGCTGCTTCTCCGTCAGAATCCGGGAGATCTGGCCTGGGAGTGGTTAAACTAAACACTGTATGACTGGCGCTCGCTTCTTCTCCGTCAAAATAAAAAGAAGATTTGTTATGATTGCCAATGAGACAACTCTCCACAATAGACCAAATGACACAGAAATTAACAACTATATGTCACAGTACGGCACGCTGCGTTTAAGAAAAAAGACACAGACAAGTCTGTTAGATCGTTAACTCAAAGTGTCGAACTAGTACAAAGCAGGTTCGTCCATATTCATAAGTCTTCAATATGTTATACACACGAACTTGTACATATTATTTGCCACTGGACAAGTTGGGTATATGTATTAACAAGAATTTTTTCAATAAGAGAATACTGGGTATTCATCAGTTAAATGTCAACAGTCGTGGTCTTATGGTATCTTGCACGGACTGAAGACTACAGGGTAATTAAAGTAAACTTAAGTTCGATTCTATGCATATCGTGCACGGAATGAAGACTATATGATGGTTAAGTTCGATTTCATGTATTTCTATGTGAAATTCGTTTTTGAAAGGTAAAAAGTTAGTATTTTAAACGAACTGCAGTCGACAGTGGATTCCTTAAGAAAATAAACTACAGCAAGAACAATAGACTAACGTTAAAGCAAATGGGTTAAGTTGCCTTCGTGTACCAGAGTTAGTATTTACAACTATATACTAGAATGATAAGCCTCCATTATTCTACATAGGCTTTTCTTTTGCGACAAGCGAAAATATTCTGTGAAGAGTTTCACTTTTCCACCAGTATTGAACAATCAATGTTAGAAATACATATACATGTAGTTATACAGATTGTTAATTCATTCCTTGAAGGAAGTTAATAAGGTATTTAGATTGTACCCATAGGAGCTCCTAATACTTGACGTCAAGTTATCAATTAACAGCTTTTCTGATTTAAATTAAAGTAGCATATGACTTTGGTTGTCTTTGTTATGATAGGATTATAAAATTGGTCTCGAATTTTTATGTATGAAAACAAAATCTGGTGAACAATTAACTTATTTCTTCCCTAAGTAGCTATGTTATATACTGCAGAAATAATATCTGTCTGGCTAAAACAATTCATCTTCATTAAGACTGACACCAAAGCTGCTACTACTCCACGGGTATAGGAACAAATCCATTTGCTCGTTAAAAACCACTTTATTGTACGATTGGATTGTCTGTATATTATTATGTCTTATGTTCAGTCATATTTCCGCCCAACTTAGGAAACGGTGCAATAAAAGTGCACTACGCACGTACTTTTTTGTTTGTTGAATAGTTTTTGTCTTGTTTTCATAATCGATATTTTATATTTCAAACAAATTATGCAGGCAAGTGTTTATTTAACCTCTCTTTTTTTTTGTTCGCATGTTAATAGTGTCTTTTTGCTGTGTGGCTTCCAATAAAACTTTCCACCAGAGACGAAATGACGTGCGTGTTTTATACGTTGCCTATACAGTTTTCTTATTCTGTGAGTGTCCATTCCTGGTTAGATTGTATATGCTTGAAAATTCTTGTGAAGTTAAAAATATATATTAGATAATGCAATAAACAAGGATATGATCTAAATGGGTTCATCTTGTATTGAGCTATTTCACAACATTCTCCTTGGAAATTGCAAATCTATTGTTTATAAAATTACTCATGAATGTTGTCAGTGTCATTCCGCCCCTGGTGGACTATTAGTCCCCGATGGTACAATCCGCAATGTAGTTGGTTCTATGGTCGCTATCACAAATTGGTTTATCGTTTAAGTGTCTCAGTTTAACAATTTATCAGAGATTTAGACATGTTATCAATTTACTAGAGATTTAGACATGTTATCAATTTACTAGAGATTCAGACATGTTATCAATATACTAGAGATTAATTCATGTTATCAATTTACTAAAGATTTAAACATGTTATCAATTTACTAGAAATTTAGACATGTAATAGATTTATACATGTTATCAGTTTATTAGAAATTTAAACATGTTATCAATTTACTGGAGATTTAGACATGTTATAAATTTACTGGAGATTTAGACATGTTAACAATTTACTAGAGATTTAGACATGTTAACAATTTACTAGAGATTTAGACATGTTAACAATTTACTAGAGATTTAGACATGTTATAAATTTACTGGAGATTTAGACATGTTATAAATTTACTGGAGATTTAGACATGTTATCAATTTACTAGAGATTTAGACATGTTAACAATTTACTAGAGATTTAGACATGTTATAAATTTACTGGAGATTTAGACATGTTAACAATTTACTGGAGATTTAGACATGTTAACAATTTACTAGAGATTTAGACATGTTATAAATTTACTGGAGATTTAGACATGTTAACAATTTACTAGAGATTTAGACATGTTAACAATTTACTAGAGATTTAGACATGTTAACAATTTACTGGAGATTTAGACATGTTATAAATTTACTGGAGATTTAGACATGTTAACAATTTACTGGAGATTTAGACATGTTAACAATTTACTAGAGATTTAGACATGTTAACAATTTACTAGAGATTTAGACATGTTATAAATTTACTGGAGATTTAGACATGTTATAAATTTACTGGAGATTTAGACATGTTAACAATTTACTGGAGATTTAGACATGTTAACAATTTACTGGAGATTTAAACATGTTATCAATTTACTAGAGATTTGGACATGTTAACAATTTACTAGAAATTTATACATGTTATCAATTTACTAGAGATGTAGACATGTTAACTATGTCGTAAATCATCATTATTATAATAAGGAGGTGTTATGTGATTTCCAAAGGGACAACCATCCACCAAAAACCAAGGTGGCAAAAAACTACAGGTCACAGCATGACCTTCAACAATGAACAAAACCAATGCAATAACATTAATGATGTCAATTTTACTGTAACAGATGCGCGTTTGACAATTTATGCCGCTCCAGTGATACTCGAGGTCAAAATATCAAACGTTGAAGAGCTGATAAAACCAAAATGGTCAAAAAGTATAGCCAAACCCGGACAAAGAATTATAGCTATACATGATAAAGAATATAGCATGTAAGGCCCCGGGACAACAAAATGTGAAACATTTCATAAGAGAAAAGTAACGCCATCAGGCCCTGATTTTAGCTAATAGAATAAAAGGGAAGTCTTTAAGTTGGTAAATGGCAACCAACAACCACTGGTCTACATGATCTTTGGACAAGCACATGTACAAATATTATGGGGCTAAACATGTTTGTAAGCGCAAAATCCTCTTCTAACCTTTGATAGTGGTGTGACATCACAACATCGAAAAAACTGTATAAATCAGTTGAAAAAGGCCCAACTCATCAAATTATTTCCTCTTTATCCTGGCATTATTATCGGTTTCGTCATGTTCCTGGAATTGACATTGATTATACTTTGAAACCGTAATACAGGGTGTTGGATGCATGAGAGGAAATGTTTCTTCTGTCGACTCACTTGGTCTAGTTCCGTTTGGAGTTCAATTAATTGTCCTACCATGTGATCTTCATATTTGTACTGAGTGTCCGCATGGTGCAAATTAAGTATTTCACTTGATGTTCGCATGGTGTTTGAGTATATATCCATTTTAGCTTAATAATTTTGTATTAGATGGTACCGAATTTTGACTGAATCATGTAAATGACGGTACATACAAAGGCACTGAATATGAAAGTTAAAGTGAAAATACTAATCTTTTATCAAAACAAAGAATAGATGACTTTGACAGATAAGAACTACACAAACACAGAAAAAAGCACAAACACTACAAATGACAAAACTGATAAGTAATGTTTTTTTTTCTGTATCTATTTCACATGTAGTGCAGATTTAAGTGTTTTTATCTGCAATAAGCTTTTAGAAGGAAAACTTCGCCCTCATAATACAAATGACCTAGTTATTTCATTTGTAATTATAATTGGATACTTGAAAATATTGTCTTCATTGAAAATCCTGAATATGTGAATAATGTTAATAACAATGCTTTGGAAGGGTTTAACGTTTTTTTTTTTGTTCAAAAACCATTGTTAAAATTATACAAAAAGGTTGAAAATTTATCTTGATGGCATAAATGACATTAATTTTAAAACTGTTCCTAAGTCATTCAACAGATGTTTAGAGTTACTTTAAATGTCCGTTTTGTTCAAATTTCCATGTGATATAAGTTTTGTTTGAAATTTCTCATTGTGTTCAGTATTATTAACTATTGAATTTAGAATGGTACAATTACAATTGAAATTCGAGATATGACAACCAACTTTAGGCATGTAAGTCTCAAAATTTATAGACAAAAATAAGATGCAGTTTAAAACGTAACACTAGTACATTAAAATGAAATTTTAACACTATCGACTGTACGATCCAGTAATGGAGATTTTAATCAACATGTAATTGTACCATTGATCTGTTTAAAGGAAGAAGTTTAAGTTCAATGATTTGCATAAGCATATTTACTTTCTTTACAAATAAAACTTTAAAATCATGTTTACAAGTATTTTTGGACAGTTATGTTCACGCATGAATAATCTACTATTAACTATTCACGCGTGATTTCATTGGATGGGATTTCATCGTCTGCTGTCTCATAAAATAAATCAAAATAATAAAATAACCCCGTTTTACCTGTTTTCTCACCTGAATACAAAATGTCAAATTTTGACAATTGTCTGCGAATTTGTGTCTTTCACACTACTTTATACCATTGATTAGTGCTGGTGTCGATGTTCTTGGACATTTTAATACGAAAACAAAAGTTCATAGATATATTATGAAATAAAGTTTAAGTTGGGACAACTATAATTTATAATGCCAAGACACAGGTATGAAGTAAGTACATTTAAAAACATTATGTGTGAAAACTATTGTACATTAAAAATCATTTTAAATTTATACATACTTGTAATTTGACAGGTTTTTTTTTCAATTGTTTCAATGAAGTTTTGACTGAACTTATACAACTGATTCTAGTGACAGTTTTGTGTTATATTGTAACGTTTTGCATTTTCTGTTTGCCGGAAATTTTCTATATCTATTCATCCCGGGTCTGAAAGAGTTGAGAATAAATTTGCATACAACTGTTATAGATATATCCAAAACGATTGATTTAGGTACATATGTGTATTACTAATGAAATGGTTATCAAATAAAGACGTTAAAATTGAAGCGGTAGGGCCAATTTCCCCTTGATCTACGGTAATTCACATCGGGGCCATTTTTTAAATGTATTTCAATCAATAAAAGAATCAACATCTACTTGGGTATATTTCGATTTTTTTAATAACGTGATGGCGTACTTCTAAACATGGGACGTATAGTAATTATCAATGTCTAAATAAGACGAAATAAGTATTGTCTAAAGACGGCGCACAACTGCAACTATAATAGGTTTTGCTGAGAAAATGTTTTGATATTTTTCCTAAAACTGAATAAGAAAGACATTCTTCATCGAAACCCAAATTATATCGGAAGTAAAACAAAGTATTGTTTCCATTTGGTTAAAGATGTCCTTCGATACATTTTTTCTTCTTACGAGACACCATACATTATATAATTAGCAATATTGTATAAAATTGTCTCCAGTAACAATGGTTAGCACTGAATACATTATGATGTTATTGATATTAATAAAAGCATTGAAATATCTGCAAAGCAAATATATCTAGTGTCTGAAAAAAGTATAATTCCAGTCGGTTTTCAACAACTTTCTGATTTCGAACATGAGCGTTAAAACGGCAACATATTGAGAATTCACCACGCATATTTTACGCAGTTAACTTTTACATGCCATTTACACTCTCATTGTAACGGTGCATGTCCACATTTAGCTATATTTTATTTTTATATTTAGAAATATTTACTGCAATCCCAACACCATGTCAGATATTACAAATTATTATCTATATGTCATTAAGATAGATATTTCTCGAGAGATATTTATATGAAACAAATGTTTGTATTCGATATGGTCGTTCTTATCATTCAGACATTTCAATTTCAAATGATCACTTGTTTGCTTATTTTAATATTACGTCAAGATGAGATATTGTTATACATAAAGATCAGTCAAGGATAGCAAATCAATCTGCAACGACGCAATGTAAACAAAGTGGCTAAAACAGTAATGAAAAATGTGTTTAAAAGGAGTTCGTAATGAGGAACTTACTAATAGATTAATCGATACTGTTGTACTTACTGCAATGCTTACTATTTCAAAAACAATATTAGTTTGAGGAAAAAAATGCCAGAGCTGTCCTATCAAATCAGAATCTAGACAACTGAAAACGATTTCAGTTCTTTGGTCCACCATCACGTTAAAAATGGAAATGCTTAGATTTTTATCGAGCTTGCGAAATTTATTCCGCGAAACCAAGACATAGCGATCCTAGATTCCGTCGTCGGCGTCGGCTGCGGCGGCTTCGTCAGCATATAGGTCAGTCTGTGGTTAAAGATTTATTTAGATATCTATAACTTTGTCAAACCTACATGGAATTAAATGAAATTTGGACAGAAGTTTGTTTATGACAAAAAAGACAGTATCCAGAGCAAAATTTTGAAAATATTTATTTTTATTTTTCCGCTATTTACTGATAAATGGGCTCCGTGTTGAAGGCCGTACCTTGACTTATAATGGTTTACTTTAATAAATTGTAACTTGGATTGAGAGTTGTCTCATTGGCACTCATACCACATCTTCCTATATCTATTTTTTTTTTTTAACAGTCAACACTAAGGCTCAATCTTAGGTTAAAGTTTTTCAGTCATCAATAACTTTGTCAAACTATTTGGAAATTTATGAAATTTGGACAGAAGCTCGTTTATGACCAAAATACAGCATCCAGAGCAAATTTTTGAAAATATTTATTTTTATTTTCCCGCTATTTACTGATAAATGGACTTTTTTTTTACAGTTAACAAGTAGATACAGTCTGGGGTTAAAGTTTGTTACATATCAATTTCTTTGTCAAACCTTCGTAGAGTTTTATGAAACTTTGGCAGAAGCCTTTTAATGATTAAGGGATAATGTCTGAAGTAAACATTTGAAAATATATTTTTTCATTTCTAGTATTTTTCTGAAAGATGGACTTCGTTTTTTTACAGTGAACATTACAGACAGTCTGGGATTAAATTTTGCTGACATCATAAATTTATAAACCTTCATGGATTGTTATGAAACTTGGACAGAAGCTAATCTTCATGACCAAGAAATACCATCTAAAGAAAAAAATGATTTTTTTATGCCCCACCTACGATAGTAGAGAGGCATTATGTTTTTCGGTCTGTGCGTCCGTCCGTTCGTCCGTCAGTCCCGCTTCATGTTAAAGTTTTTGGTCAAAATAGTTTGTGATGAAGTTGAAGTCCAATCAACTTGAAACTTAGTATACATGTTCCCTATAGTATGATCTTTCTAATTTTAATGCCAAATTAGAATTTTGACCCCAATTTCACGGTCCACTGAACATAGAAAAACTATGGACACATTCTTGTTTAAATTCTGTATTTTACTGATAAATGGACTCACTTTTTATGTAAACATTACACTTTTATACTGACAGCAGCAATTGCAGGCGAGACACAGGGTTCTGCGGAACCCCTTACGAATTTTTATACTAGGATCTTAGAAATATCTGCTCCCTCCATTGCCTGAAAATTGTTTTTCCTTTATTTTCATGTTCTACCTAATTAATTTTTTTTATCAGCGGTCTGATTTTTAATAAAGTGGTATAAAGACGTATATAAAATTGCGATTTTTAAATAGTTTATAGTTTGCACACGACAAGAAAGAGGGTCGCGTCATATCTGCAACCTGGGCCCCTTTCCTTGCTTATGACATCATAGAATGCGACTTATGGTCGGGTTTTTCTTTTATCATGAACATCACGACGGATGCATTTACATATTTCATGAAAAAAAGATTAACAGAAGTATTAGAAGCATTATATGTATATAGTTCCAGACATTTCAAAAAGCGCAAATTCTTCGATCTTTTCAAAGTTTTATTGATATAGCAATTTGATGATGTACTGTAAATTCGGAATTTTGATGTATATATTACATGTGCATTGCGAAAATAAAAACTCGTAGAAGTCTGGTCATTTTTGTGTTGGAAATTGTCATTTGTGATGTCAATGTGATTTGAAAGTTGACATATGTAATCCACTTTCTTAATTGCAAGAAGTTTGAAGGAGTTAAGCAAATACGTAAGACAAATTCAAAAATATAGATATTTACTATAATATTTGGCAAACTTCTATCTTTTAATAACTGAAAGGATGATATCTTATTTATAATATATTTGATTTTTGAATTCATGGGCAACACATGGCATTTCTCCTTTACAAACAAAATTAACAAGGACAGAAGAACAGCCTACTGGTACCCACATGACTTATAGTACACCATCAGCAGAACAGCCTACTGGTACCCACATGACTTATAGTACACCATCAGCAGAACAGCCTACTGGTACCCACATGACTTATAGTACACCATCAGCAGAACCAAACAAGTGATCGTAAAAAAGAATGAAACCGATTTCGTCTATGTTTTTAAACTCCTCCTTTTTTACTGAACAAAACCTATCGGAATTTTCCACAGTCCTCTTTCTCTTTTTGTTAAATATGATAAGCTTCATATACAGTCATTACATGAAATGATAGGCTACAACTTAATGATTTCTTCACGCGTCATACTCCCTTAGACTCTCTCTAAAATTCAGTCCTATTGAGTATTCAGACGTTTTTCTTGCAGTCAATCTAGTAATGATCAGTAGATTTTCAGACTACTTAACAGTCTGAACATAGACTAAAAAAATCTTAATTGACTGCAACCTAATTGACTGAACAGTATTGAATTTAACGCAGCGGATGGGATAAATCTGAAAATTAACTGACAGATTTAACAGGACTAAATAATTTATTGTTCAGTCTTTTAATAGCTGTTTAGATTAAAATGGCCGTTTCAGTTCAAAATTGGTTTACTAGTGGATCCTATTCCCTTATACATAGTTACCATGAAAATGCAATAACTGATCGTTTAAACTTCGAAGATGCACTATGATAAAAATAGTAATTAAATGTATATGTTCTTAGTATCTCTTATGTCCGCACCCGCCACTTATGCAGGTTACTATATAGTTGTAATAATGGTTATTCACGCATAAGGACGTCAGTTTAACGAATGCTTTGAATTTTAACCGTTAAAAACTTTTTTTGTTATCGTAATCGGAATTCTTGATCAATTCAAATGCCTGAAATGCTACATTCAGCAGCAATCCGTCTTACAGTTAACTAGGGAAATATTTTGATTGATTGAATGTTTCTTGAAGTGAACATAATCTTAAAATTGAAATCTATACATCTGTATTTCAATCATTGTTGTCCGGTTTAAATGAGATATCACTTCATCTTGTCTATTTCAATCAATTTGTGCCTGTAACAGTTACAAAATTTTGATTTCATAAGTATTGAATAATTTTTCGGCACCTACGATTTAAAGTTATTTCATGATGTTTAGATTAACTTGTCGTGATGTCCACTTGGGAAAGTTTGATAGATATGACCTATTGTCAAAATTTAATTAGTTTATAAACATTTGTACTATTTCGTAAATATTGTGTAACTTGACTTTGCGGACAATTTTGCCTTCGGTGTAGATAGATAGATAGTAAATGAATGACACAGCAATTATGGAAAGCTTTTAGTAACACCAAACTGACTCACCTGTCTAAAGGTTGAGATACAAATTCGATAAAATTCAAATGAAATGTACAAAATGTGCCGCTAGTATACACAATAACAAGTTTTAATTCCGTTTAGATAAAACTGTAATGATGTTTACTTTCTGTTAATAGCTTGGGTTTTATGTTTAGATTTACTGCCAAAAGAGTAGATTATTGACTTCAAACAATGAAACTTTTAATTATTTTTTTGCCAATTTTGTATAATTAAGACTGCACGGATGTTTATTACAAATCAATAGTATATAGTTTTATTCTTTTCAGATTGCCTGACAGAGAGTGCTTTCTTAACTTCTTGACTAACTTATTGTGGACACAAACTGAGTACGTTACAGTTTTCTATTGTGATATATATAAAACCTAGGCTCGAAGTGTAAATCTGTTAATTATTTAGGAACCAATTCACTGAGAAGAACTCTGGAAAACCGTTTATTTATCAAAGTCAGAGGTAATTAATTTCATACGTAGTTTTTTATTCTCTGCTGGAGTTATACTATTTTTCTTTTTCACTAAACAACAAAAGCGCCGAGTAGAAAACGTTGTAGTAAGAAATCGTGTTCAGTGTTGGCCGAGAGACCTTTACTAGCTCTACCGTACTTTTGTGAAATTTATGTGGAATTAATTTACATATGACTGAGAAAAAGAAAAATCGGTTATTTACTATTTATGTAAATTTAACAGCGAGTTGACTTGACCAAAATATTAATAAGAGACTTATTGCAGTGCGAGATATCTAAATCACAATTAAAAAAGGAAAGGTGGAATTAGCGTGTCATCACTGAAGTTGAAATTAACCTACGTTTTACAGGTAAGACAATTTCCCACGGTGGTTTTATTTTTGCCAGGTAATACCACGTATCTTCAGACAAAAGTGTATGTAGTTTAATTTCATAAAAACTTTGCTTTAGACAACCTGATTGCTGCTATTAAAAATTCATTTGTATCAAAATTCCTTGAGGCAGTAAGACAGTAAAATACCAACCTGAAGTTAAAGAATTAAAACATTTAAATCTACCAAATGTCACGAAAATCACTGAGGATTAAAAGTTAAGAAACATTTCTTATAGCATTGTATTAGAATATTTTATTCGTGTTTAAGAAACGCATAAAATTTAATTACATACATGAAATGTGACATATTTGCGGATGTTTTTTTTTCTGTTTAATACTGAGCACTGTCATCAAGAATTCATTTTAAGCACAACGAACGGCATGCTTATTTCTTATGTTTATCTCTTGATATGTATATCCATAGTGAATGCAAAGATTTTCAGTAATACAAGTCCACATTGGTAAAGAGGGACAAATGAGCATGATATATTAATTTTATTAGTTTCATATGCTCATAATGATTAATTTGAAATTCCTTATTGGATAAAACACTTAATTCACACCGAAGCCATCGGTATTTGTCGTCTGCTGAGCTTCGACCTGTCAAACATGCATGGGAATTGTCACTCAGTCAAAAGAAAGATACGTTAAAATAATGAATTGATGTGATTTTGATTATCTGTTTTTTACTGCAATTTGCATAATAATAGCTAGTGTCGGACAAGAACGCAACGAAATTAACCCAATTATCAAAGCACTTATGTGTTGAAGACTGGTCTTTGATGACAACCTCCCCAGCAATTAATAGTAGTTAGTGATCTAACAATATGTTACCAACTCAGGATATGATTCATCTTGGTTGCTCTAAGATAATAGCTAACAAAATATAATTGCTCGTTAACTCTGCTTTAGTCCCTTTTCTGTTCTCCAGTGAATGTGATTTAGCGGCTGTCGTATATATCTTACGTCAAAGTCATAGAAAGTATTTCGAAACTCGAAGCATTGGTTCCAGTAAGCTACAAACTTTTCGTACATCAGTAAATATCACGTGTTTATAAAAGATAGTTTAATATATATCAACTGTTAGTTATGCAACTCAGGTTTTGTGAATGAATGTAAATCTATTTACAGATGTAATTGTGAAAAGATTAAAACGTTAGATAATAATTACCTTAGGGAGCTACCATTTGATTTTTATGGGAGGTGGGGGGCTAGGATGAAAAATTTTGTCCTGCATCTTTTTTTAGTTGTAATCTCTGTCCTGCCTTTTTATTTTTCACTCTATTCGGTCCTGCCTTTTTTTGTTGTTGCAAAGTTGCTCATCCTGCCGTTTTTTGTAACTCAAAACTCCTGTTCTGCCTTTTTTTCAAATTTCATCCTAGCCCCCCCCCCCCCCCCCCCCCCCCCCCCCATAAAAGTCAGATGGTAGCTGCCTTAAAGATATCGATGAGGCATCTGAACAATTCCAAATTTTTAGACAAACATGGGATAAAAAAGTATTGATGCTACGCTAAAGCCAGAACAAACTTAAGATTTTCGTATTATGTTACCTTGTATATTGCTACGGGTGTATACGTCTGAATTTTTCCATTCAGTACAGAATTTCCAGGATCAGAATGTTTAAAGTGAACAATATGAATAAAACGAGTTGTTTGGTGAACGTCAATGAGACAGAAACCCAACAAAACAAAATAAAAACCCAAAGGTAACATCATACGGTATTCAGCAATAGAAACATGTCTTGTACTAATTAATACCAGAGTCATGAACAGTAGTGAATGAATTTAACAGAGAAAGATATGCTATCAACACCACATTTCCCAAATGCTAGAAAACTCCCCAACCAATACTTCTTGTAATTGCTTAAACAATGAGGGACTGGTTAAGAAGGAATGGTGATAAGATTACGGCAAATAGGCGACCTAAACTTCCCAGCTTTATTAGGAAACATCTGGTTTGTTAAGCTAAATAAATACATGTATATATTTTTACATTGCCGATATGAATAAAAGGAGAGGAAGCCTCTTCCATGATGTTCTACGTTGTTGAATGAATGGTGTTGATTGTATCACTACTGTAAATATTGTTTATCCATATTTTGGTTATAAATTTTAATCTTTTCAAAATTTATTTCTTAAATATTGAACAATTTTAATACATTGTAGAATTAAATTTGCAGAAAATGAAAAATCTATTTTCAAATATAATCCGAGTACAATTTGAAAATGCAGAATTTATAATTTTTTGTGACACTTTCTTCTTCATTGTTGAAGAAACATATATAATTGGGCTTACGTCAGCTATACTTTACTTTCAATTGATTTACACTTTCTGTATCATGTATTCACGAACTTTAACCTTTGTAATCTTTGTTATTTTTTTTCTTTTCTTGTTTTTAATCGACTTTGGAATTTGGTTCTATCAGACATGTGTTTAAAAAGGTTTTCTAAAAAACTTGATTTTAATGACATAAAGGTGGTATGAAAAAAAAGAATTCCGTACCGTAATTGACGTGTTTTACAAAAATGAGACCAGTTGTCAATTGCTTGCTCAGTATTACACAATTTTTCATTAGGTTAATCAAATGAAGTGTACAGTACTTGGTTTACCTAAATTCTGATACATATTCATTCACTCGAACATACTTTGAATGTTCATTTTTGCGTGAAACAGGATTTTATATTAAATTTGTTACATTCACGGATCACGTATTTCAACATATCATATTGCGTAAGACAACCGAACATATGTATTTGTTTGTGTGTGGTAACGACACTATATATTTTACAAAATCGTTTCAGAAGTATTTTTGCAATACAAGAGATTTATTGATACGTAGCGAAAATTTTTGTTTCTCGTCAAGTCTGATTGTCCAAAGCATGTATTGGGAGAAATCCAAGCTTTCTAAAAGTTATAAAACCAGAATATCATCGATAGGGTTTGTAGCTAGTTGGTCTGTTGATCAGGATTTTTTGTTTTACTTTTTAGTCAATATAGCAGTTATAATGTTCTACCCCTTCTCATGGTCCATTCGCATTTACAACCCTGCCAATTGATGTACATTAACACGTTCTGACCTGGATGTATATATATATATATAAGAAATATTGACCAGGCTGCTAATGCTATTCAATCGACAATACATCAAGGTGTTTCAGGTTAGATTGTGTAGCTTTCCCAACTGTATACAGTTTATTACATGGCATTATTCAAGTCTTGCTGTACCTTTATCTGATGAAACTTGTCCCTCACTTATTGAAGGCAGCTTTTATTCCAATGAAACTTTTTAAATGTAACATTTTTAATTTCAGACCCCTAACGCACAAACCCTGTAAAGAAATGTAAAAAACTTGTGCAGTATTTTTATGCCCCGCCTAGGGGCATTATGTGTTTTGGTCTGTGCGTCCGTTCGTCCGTTCGTCCCGCTTCAGGTTTAAGTTTTTGGTCGCTTCAGGTTAAAGTTTTTGGTCAAGGTAGTTTTTGATGAAGTTGAAGTCCAATCAACTTGAAACTTAGTACACATGTTCCCTATGATATGATCTTTCAAATTTTAATGTCAAATTAGAGTTTTTATCCCAATTTCACGGTCCACTGAACATAGAAAATGATAGTGCGAGTTGGCAGGTTAAAGTTTTTGGTGAAGTTGAAGATCAACTTGAAACTTAGTACAAATGTTCCTTATGATATGATCTTTTAATGTAAAATTAAAGTTTTGACCACCCCAATTTCACTGTCCACTGGACATAGAAAATGATAGTGCGAGTGGGGCATCTGTGTACTATGGACACACTCTTTTTAATACTTTTTAACATTTTTGGTCTAAGCTAACAAAGAAATGAAACTGAAACATAGATTGACGTGATTTTTTTCTTTTCCAATAGAAAGCGCACCGCATTAGTTTCAAGCTACATCTCACATCAAGCATCCGCTTCAGGTATCTAAGTACATTCTCTGAAATTAAATAGTTACCGCTCATGTTTGTTTTTTTTTATGCTAGAACGGATGGTATTTTTTGCTTATTTTGCTGAAAATGTCCCCAAGACATTCTGAATTACAGAATTCATTGACCATTTCTGTAGAAAATTGTTATTCACCTTGTTAAATAACAAAACTCGAAACGGTAATGAAGTCAGAAGACGTCGTATAATAACATATAATTAGGAATAATTTCTAATAATTTTTAGATATGCTTATCGTTATTAAATTATTGATAATAAACACTATTGATCCAGAATAAAAATCATTCGAGATGGAAAACAAAAAACAAAGGGAAAATAGGTCCTAATGATACTATCACTAGACCCGTCTGATTATTATTTTTCAAACATGTGCAACTGCATGTCATAATAAAATAAGTTGATTGAATGCATTTATAACAATTTGAAGAATTATAAAAAAAATTCATGCATTAAAATATACTATTGCAAATTTAAAAGATTTTGTAAGATACCTGTGTTCGAGTCATGTCACAACGTTTAAAGAAAAAAAAAACAAAAAACGCGTCGGACATGAAATAGAGGCGAAAGACAACATAGTGATAATCCAACTCATAAGTTGAAAGGGAACTTACACCGTGGTAAAATAAAACAACAACAAAAAACGACCAAAAAACAATCAACAGTAAACAAAACACCACATAGAAAACTAAAAACTATGCTCTCTAACGTTATGTGAAGTTCTGTTGCTATTTCATTGTCATTTATTCTTACATTTCAAAAGATTCTGATGTAGATATATAGTTCTAAGCTTGATCATTATTTTATACTTATTGACTGGGTATGAGTGGAATCGTAAGTTTATTGTCCCCGAGGTGCAATTATTGCCCTGAGGCGTAGTCGAGGGCAATAGTTGTATCCGAGGGAACAATAAACTTACTATTCCACGAATATCCAGTCAGTAAGTGTTTTCTTATACCGAAAGAGACAACAGACAATATAAATATCGGTCTAAATCAACTATAGTATACTAATATAAAAA